ACTTGGCATAACCCTTCTTTCGCACAGACATGGACTCAGATTGATCACATAGCTATAGACGGAGAGGATGTGTGAAAGACTGTCATTCATATTGGTCTACCTACTTGGACTTTGACCACTGGCACTGCTTTGTGCCAAGTTGTCTATACAATCTGGTGGTCGCAAAATGAGATGCGAACAGCTTGACATCGCCAAGCTTTCTGACCCGACCATGCTACCCGACTACCAAATCGAGCTGGCCGCAAGCCTAACTGCTACCCCACCGAGAAGTGTTGATCAACATTGGACAGCCATTCAAAACGCAAACCACTCAGCCAGTTTATACAGTTGTGACCTAATCCACCGAGTTAAAAATCACTGGGTCTCCTCCAACTCTCTTAGACTTGTTGACGCGCGTCGGGCAATCGCGGTAAACAGCGAGTACAATGAAAAGCGCCTTTCTCGGAGGCGTGAGCTCACAAAGAGTTTGAGAGACGACCGAGAAACCTAGTGGACGCTACGTGCAAAGAAAGTGGAATCATCGGCTAGGTGCGTAAACACCCGGTAACTGTTCCAACTCATCCGTACTACGGGCCTCAAAAGACAGTGCGTTAGTGAAACAATCTGTGAAGTAGATGGCACGCCAATATACAGTCTTCATCGACACTGGACAGAGCACTTCACATAGCAGTTCAACCAGTCTCCCGTGCTGGCTGCCCCAAGCAGTTCTTTTGAGAGTGCACCCTGGTCACAGTCCACAGTAGCGGAGATCTGAAACGCCACAAGGTGTCTGGATCGGACAATCAATTCCGGCCTTCTTGAACGATGGTGCCAGATTGTTCTCGAAGACTTGACTGTTGCACCCATATACAAGAAGGGCTGTCGCAACACCCGTTTCAACCAAAGCGGGAAAAGTCTGATTCCAATAGCGTCGAAGCTATTGGCGTCCCCTTTATTACAAGAACAAAGCCAATTTCAAAAAAGACATCCACGAAGATCAGGCCGGGTTTCGTACATGCCGTGGATGCATAAATCAAATCTTCACCCCTCGTCAGCTACTAGGACACATCTACATATACAGACGACAAACTGTTCTCGCGTTTTGAGACCCTCGAATCCATCGATCGCTCGGTGCTTTGGAATAGCATGCTGAGATACAAGGTACCCGAGAATTACGTCCGTCCTCAAGAAGATCTCTACCGTCCGTCTTCGCAGAAGATTAGGGGCTCTCGTGAACTCTCACCATCAATTCTTTTCACCAGTAGGATATGACAAGATTGTTTCATCTCTCATTCCTCCAAAACTTTGCCATAGACGTCCTACAAAACGTGTTACATAACGTAACGAACACTGGCGTCGAGCTTCCCCTTGGTGACAGAGTCGTAGACTTCGAGTATGCCGATGATGTTGCTTTACTAGGTGACAACGCACCAACGATTCAAGAGTCGTTGAACCGTTTGGCAATGGGGGTTACTCGCTATGGTATGTCATTTTCACCTTCAAGATACAACGTGTTGCTGCAAGATTGGTAGGAACCCATTCCTGCACTTTCGTTGTGTAATGACACTCTGGAAATAGTCGAAAGCTTTATCTACCACGGAGTTGCATAACGGCTGGCGGAGGTGTGAGTGAGGAGATCTCTCAACGCGTGATCAAAGCTAGACTAGCGTTTGCTGATCTGCGGCATCTCTGGCGCCGGTGCGACATATCCCTTTTACTGTAAGGTCGTGTGTATGCACAACGGTGCGCGTCGTGTTGCTCTATAGCTACGAAACCTGGCCTCTCCAAGCAGATCGTGTCCAACGACTATCCATCTTCGACAATCGTTGTCTGGGCAACAGCGTCCGCGTATGGTGGGAGCGTCGTGTGAATAACGATGAGGTCAGACGACGTCTGTTAGAATCACATACTCTTCCTTTGAGCAAAATAATTTCACTGCATCGTCTTAGGTGGCTAGGGCACGTCCTACGAATGTCTGAGCACCGTCTGCCACACAGTGCACTATTCGCAGACATTGGTCCAGGGTGTAAGAAACAGCCAAGTTGGCAGACTATGACGTGGTGTATAGGATTGAAGAGATTGTGCTCGGATTTGGGTTCCTTCGAGGCTTCCGTGAAAGATACCCGAAGTTTCAGATTGTTTGACTGGAGACACTGTGGGATATGACATCGAACTGAAGTCGGTGACATGAATGGACACTTCCGTGCATTCAATCCAAAAATGAGACAAACACAGAAAAAAAAACCAGAATTGCGTGCAGAAGTTGTCATCCTCATAATTGACTACTTTTGCCCTCTCCCTTGTTCTGTCTCTGTAATTCTCTTTTAAGCCATGATTATCCGAGATCGGTCGGATCATTGTACTATCATCTTTATTGAAAGTCGTCAGCATTTTGTTCAAGGGGATTCGAACTCGTGCATGATGGGACGTTATTCTAACGCTAACTAGCTTCGGGAAGAGCTTCATGGTGCTCCTAAAAATCCCAAGTTTATTGAAGGTAAAGTGCATGCTAACAACCGTAACCTGAGTTTTCACATTTTCTCAGTAACCAAACTCTCCAGATTTGTCATATTCGGAAAGCAAATGACATTACCGTATGGGAAAACCGAGCGGCATTCAAATGACTGCTCTCAACTGACTTATCTCAGAAATTGCATCCTATTTTATTCATAAGTCCACTTGATGTGACTTCTAATCCACACAATAAAGTTGGGATTTCATCTTCCTGAATTGTAAATATGATGAGTAATGTTACAATTACTCACACTCAGACAGCCATTGTATGACCGCGTAAGCTAGAAAGCTGACTGTATACTTGCATACTCAGTAGATAAAAAAGAAGTGAAAACATTTACCATTATGAAGTGTTTCTCCTTGCAACCTATTCCCAGATTTGAAAACCTGAGATTTTGCGTGTTGAACAGAGGTGTTCAGTCGAATTCCACGCGTTGTGAACAACAAACAGCGATCAATCAATTTTCCCTTTTATTTTGTGAATATCAGTGTCAAGGCCTGTATATTTTCTTGCTCCAGAGTTCCGGAGCTTTTAGCCGAGGGTCATTCACCTGTTTTGAAAAATAATCCACTCACGAAGTCAGTCCCGATGCATGAGCTCAGTAATCATCAATTCATGTGCTATGTGCTGTGTTTCACTATTGTATAACCGCACATCGCCCACAAAAACTGAGACATAAACAACCCATGCAACTTAAGAGGCGAATGGTGGAATGCACTTTGATGACAGCGCCCGGAATTGATAGGTTATATATATATATATATATAT